CCCAGGGCTCACACATACTTGATCATGTGGTTGGCATAAGCTCTGGAGCAGCAGGTGCTGTAACGACACAGGGAACAGTGCACGTAGGTGGGGAAGTGGTTGGGGAAGTCGGGGATCTCGAAGCTGCACTCCAGGCATGTCTGCCTGCCCAGGACACTCCTGAGGAGAAGAGAAACACTTGAATTAGTGGAGCTTTGAGTTATGACAATCCTCCAGGACAGAGAAGAATTTAAGGTAATGTAAATTTTGACCAGTCCAACTAGTCTCATCTTGCACCCCCACTTCTAGAGCGCTTTGGTGCCAGGCCCAGCATTTTCTCCTGGCTGCAGACAGGAGCTGCAAACCACACCTGGAGAGTGGATTTTTAACATATTTAAAAAAAAATACATATTGTAGACAAGGCAGCAAGCCACAGGATGGGGAGAAAGCCCTGTCACTGATGGAATTCCACTGCCTCTGAAGCACCCAGCCAATCCCCTCTTCCAGTTTCACCTTCAGGGCTCCCACAGCACAACTTAATCCTGGGTTTGTGGGAAGCTGGATTCTCCTGGCATCAAGTTGCCGTGGCAACTGGCGAGACAGAGCTGCCCAGTCCTGAGGCTCCCATCACCCACCCCCGTGGTATTCTAAAGACAACTACATTTCCCTTAAAAATGTTTAAATGGGAAATTCAGCAGCAGGTTCTGACATTTTCTTGACCGATCTCTTCTGGACGCTCCTCTGGACCGGCGGGTACAGGAAGATGGGCTGGGGGTCGGTGGCAGATGACAGGGGGTTGTCCTGTCCAGAGCCCTGGGACATGTCATTGGAGGAGAGGGGCACTGTCCGTGGCTGTCCTCTGGATGCCCTGATTGTAACCTGCAAGAGACAGACAGACCCACACCTGAGCATACGGGCAGAAGGGACCTGGCCTGACTCTGCAGAGAAGAAAGAGGCTCCTGGGATACACACGTCCCACCCAGGGCAGCAGCAGCCTGAAGGACACAGGACCTGAGCCCCAGAAGGGCTTGTTTGTCCCTAATAACTACAGAGGGGTCCAGATTCCTCATTAGGAGAGTTCAAGCCACTTTCACCTCCTTTCTCTCACCTCCCATTTCTATGAAGCATCTAATTAACTGAACACACTCGACAGGGACAGAGCACAAAGTGTTTCCTGGCTCAGGGAGTGTGTTTCAATGGTGCCGGTGAAGCAGACAGCAGTTTGATGAGTACACACCAACAGAGAGGCTGGGAGGACAGGGCTCTGCTGTTAACTGGGATTTCTTACCTTGGTTCCAGGTTTCAATCCTTCTAATTGTTTGGGCTTCCGGAAAGTTTTGTGGTGCTGCAGCTTGTGCTCAATTTTGTCCTTGGCAAACAGGAACTGGAGCCTGCACTTGTTGCAATGATAAACACTCTTCTTCTAAAGCAAACAAAATGTATTTCATTTTAAGGAAAGAGAAGTCACAAGGAAGCAGTGGGTTTTGTTTAAAGAAATAAAAAATTACAACCCCTTTTCCCTCTTTGAAATCAAAGCAGCCCCATTTTCCTTTAGCACCTGGAAGCCCCTCCCCACCAAGCCCTGGGGGGAGAGGTGGGGTGTTTCTGTGTTCTGAATCACACTTCAGCCACCCCACAGGAGACAAGGTGTCCACAGAGCCAACAGGGATGGAACCAGAACACTGAGCTACAGACACTACATTTGCTCATGTGCATCCAGGGTGACTTGCTTAGTTATTACCTGCAGATAGTTATACCCCAGATGAAAACAGAGCCCACTCTTGGTTAACCCCCACATGAAGCAAACACAGTCCAGTCAAACATGCTTCTTTCTGCTATGTAACACTCTGTACTGCTCCCAAAGGAAAAAGGCTCTTCCCTTCCACACAATCCCTACAGGAGGCTGGGAATGACAGCCTGCAAATCCCATTTGCCACGGGGTGAGTGGAGCATCCACCCAGCCCCCCCTCCAGCCACAGCTTCTTCATGCTTTTATCCCAAGCAACCTCAGCTCATCCCCCTGGAGAGGGAACCCCCAGCCCGGAGGCTGTACCTGGTGCCTCATGAAGTGCTGCTGGAAGGCGTTGCCATTCTTGAAGACCTTGAGGCAGTAGGGACAGAGCAGGTGACGCGTGTCCTCGTGGATCATGCGGAAGTGAGTGTCCACCTCCGAGTACAGGGACGAGCGGTACTGGCAGACCTGGGGGGATGGACAGCTGAACATCAGCACAGGAAGGATGGAAACCTGCTGGGAAGGGGCCAGAGGGGGCCACGGAGATGATCCAGGGCTGGAGCAGCTCTGGGAGAGCTGGGGTGTTCAGCCTGGACAGGAAAAGGCTCCAGGGAGACCTTAGAGCAGCTTCCAGTGCCTGAAGGGGCTCCAGGAAGGCTGGGAAGGGGCTTTTCACCAGAGAGGGCAGTGACAGGACAAGGGCTGATATTTTTAAACCGAAAGAGGGGAGATTTAGGTTGGACATCTGGAAGAAATTCTTCCCCATGAGGGTAGGAAGGCACTGGAACAGGTTGCCCAGAGAAGCTGTGGCTGCTCCATCCCTGGAGGTGTTCTAGGCAAGGCTAGTGCAGCCTGGGCTGGTGGGAGGTGTCCCTGCTCATGGCAGGGAGGTTGGAACCTGATGATCTTTAAGGTCCCTTCCAATTTTAACCATTCTATGATTCACAGGGAAGGAACACAGGAACCTATCTGACATCCACCACTGCCACAAGGAGATCACCCAGATTCCCAAAGACCCTTATGCATGGAGTTGAGGAACCCAAGGCTCCTTTGCACTCCCATGAGCTACACGTTTTGCTGACAATTGCTGCAGTTCCTCTTATTCTCTAGTGTGCACTTATGAAATCCAGCCCCTCAAGTGCTTCTCCCACCTGGCAAACATAGGGCATCTCCCCAGGCTTGTGCGTGTCCTTCATGTGCTGCAGGAACATGGGCTCACTCTCAAACGCCCACTCACAGATCTTGCACTTGGCTACAAGAGAAAGGAAAAGCAGGTGGCACCTGAGGGCCAAGAACCCCATCATCCCTGATAAAACATCCACCACCAGTTGTGAGTTTCTCTGGTAACAATCTGAAGCAAAACCAATCCACAAAATGAAAACAAAAACCACCACCTGGAAAAGCAGCTCCTGAGTTGGGCCGACAACAAAACAGTCTGAGGGGTTTCAAGAAGGCAGGAAAATACTCTTGACAAAAGGGTGGGTAGAAAATTAGGAAGGTGCCCTAACGAGGAACCATCAAGAGATACTAAATCAGATGTCATCCCACTGCTAAGAATTTAATCCTATCATGACACTATCATTGGACTTGATCTGGAAAGTTCTCCTGACAGCAAGTTGGCAGAAATGTCATTTAAATGGATTTTCTGCTGGGCTACAAACACCTGCACCCAGGGGAAAAGCTCAACAGATGCTCCTTCCAACAGATTTGCAGTTAACACAGGACAGAAACCTTCTTAAACCTCAACACCTAACACCAGAGTCAACTCACTGGTAGACTCGTAGGGGCTGTGGACATTCTCCAGGTGACACTGCAGCTGGAAGGGGGTGGAGAACTGTCGGTAGCAGTGCTGGCAGATGGTGTGGACATCCACCTCCCCGTTCTGCTGGTCCAGCTCAACGTGGTGCTTCATGTGATTCATGAACCTTACAGAGGTGAAGACAAACTGTGTCACCAGAAACCCAAACATTTGGCACCTGTAACCCTGGCAGCATGATGAACCCTACACCAGAAGGTGTTTTTAAACAGCATGAAGATGTTTCCTTCTTGCCCTTCCCACCAGGAGCAAGCACAGCCTCCCTCAATCCAGCAATCTCCCACTCCCCAGCTATAAAGGACTTGGGGAAGGGATTTGCAGAGCAGGGGCTGCACTACTTGCTCACGAGCAATCCTGACCCCAACCAGGCCTTCCCCTGAGCATGACAAGCACCTCACTGACCACAGCCAAGTGGCTGCCTCACCATAATCACTATTTTCACAATATTTTATCCCTCTGCTGAAAAAGCACTGACTAAAGATGAGCAGCTCTTCAAGAAGCATTATTTCCTACTGTCTAGTAAGACTAGTGAGGAGCACAGGAGACCTCTCTGCTGCAGAACAGAAATGCAGTTACTCTAACCATGCAATCTCCTGACTACTCTTCTTGCTATGGCTGAGCTGAGTGGCACTGGGCAAACCTGCCCTTTCTGTGCTTCAGCTCTGGGCTGGAGCTGCAGCCCAGGGAAGCTGCAGGGCCTGGGAGCCTGGAGCTTCCAGCTGCTGCTGCAGCTCAGAGGTACTGAGGGCCCTGCAGACCCACTCCTCTTACCGTATGTTGTTCTTTAGCCTCTTGCTGCAGTGTGGACACCTGAAGGAGGTTGGAACCTTGGGGAAGTTCAGCAGCTGGCTCACTTTGCCACCATCTCTGCCATAGTAGAAATCATCTACTAACATTATGAGCTTACTTTGGGATGAGTCAACTACGTTTTCACTTGGCTCTGGAGCTTTAGCAGGTGGGGACAGCGCAGGGATGGGAGTAGAGGAGGGTGGTGAAGCCACAGCTGTAGTTTTTTCTGGAGATGGAGGCTTTGCAGATTGAGTATTTGGTTCAGGCTCTAGAGATTTTCTCTTCTTGAGGAATTCAACCATTTCAGGGCAGCAGTACTAAAAGGAAAGAAACCCACCAAAAACCCCACACATTAAGCTGTATCTAGAAAGAACTATAAACTACTAACCAAAGACTAACCAGGACTAAGAAGAGCCAGAAGAACTCTAGGAAACTATTGAGGAAAGACTAATGTAGAGTCAAAATTCAGTTTCCTTGTTTGACTGTTTACTGCTAAGATTAGAAAATAAATGCATCTCCTGGCACCAACAGGACATAACACTGAGGTCCTGCCTTCCTGCAGTGAGGGATGCCATGGAAAGTCTTCCAAGGGCCCCTCCTTTGCCTCTCACTTTCTCCTACTCATATTCCTCCCTTTTACAGAAGTCCCTGCTCCAGGGAGAGCTCCTCTTTGCAATCATGAGTAATTATCCATTAACTGCTCAGCTCAGGGTGTTACTTACACACATGTGTCCTCTTAAAGCTTCAGTGACTCGAAACTGAGCATCACATCTTGGGCAGACCTTGCGACCCCCGTCTTGCAGATCAAAGGTGGGGACTGGGGATGAGCTGACTGCAACAGGAAAAACCAGTCAGACACTGCCCTAAGCCTGGCCAATCCTTCTGGCTGACTGAAATACTTCAGAGCTGAACTTTTAACTACTAACCAGACTGAAAGGGGCAAACACCTTAAGAAGGTGCTTTCTTTGCAAGAGAGCAAAGATTTTCCTTTCTCTCTTTGCCCGAGTATTTCAGCAGTTACAGGTCAGTGCAGTCTCACTCCAGAAGCTCCATTTCTGGATTCCCAGCAGACTCGGTGGAGCTGAAGATGCTCCCCAGGTCATTACCTTTCAGGGAGGAAGAGGATGAGGATGACTCCGAGACGCTGGACCTCTGGGAGCCGTGGACAGGGCTGCTGTTGGACACCACCAGGGGGCCAGGGCTCTGCCCCAGCGAGGGGACGGTGCTCAGGGTGTTCACCAGCTTGGCCACCTCGTTGCTGTTCTCGCCCGTCACGCCGGGTCTCTTGACGGTCACAAAGCTGGCGATGCTCACTGCCAGGGGGACACTGCTCAGCAGCCAGCAAGGCCTGTCCCCCTGCACCAACCCCACCCCACCTGGAACACCTCGTCTGCTGCTCCCCCCACCTGGGGTCTTCACCCAAGAAAACTGAGCCATCAATGCCCATCCTGTCCAGCAACACAAGGGCTGCAAGATGGGAAGGTCCATTTCCCTGCCCTTCCAGCTCACATCCATCCTGTGATGAACTCAACAGGACACTGATGCTCACACCACCTGCATTTCTTTTCTAAATGCAGCTGTATCTGATTATGGTCCCTCAAAAGCTAAGAACAGCCTGACTACCTGCTGTGTGAAGAAGTATTTCCCCCCCCTCCCCCCCTTTTTGAATTGTTTGTCAGTATTCTTGAGTAATCATTTCACTCATGAATTCAGGCAACATGGAGAAAATCAAAAAAGCAGCAGTTTCTGCTTGTGTTCACCAGCTATTTAACTTCACCTTCCAAAAATACAAGTGTTTAATACATAATATTTTTTTTTTCACTTTTGGGGACTTCTCATTGATGGTCTCAGAGCATTCTGCAAAACAAAACATAACCAGTTCACCAAGCAAACTGGACATGGAGCAGGATTATCCTCATTTTCCAGACTAGTGAGAGATGAAGCATGAGTCAGTGAGGGAGGCAGAAATAGAAGCCTGGAGTTCTGACTCAGCTTCTGCAGCACGTTTGGAGATCAAACCACAGACAGTGTCACACACTCCAGTCCCCTCGCTTCTCCATGGCAAGTCTTACCTAATTTGGGGTTAGTGGCTGGACTGGACTGCCCTGGCTGCTGCACAGTTAACTGTCCCAGTGGTGTTGGCTGCGTTGCAGTAGGAGTTGTGGAGGTGCTGGGAGTGGACTTACTTTGCTGTTGTGCTTGGGACTGTGGTACCGTGCTCCTGATGGTGAGCGTGGCCGGAATGACCGTGGTGAAAGTGTTGGTGGTGGGACGGACCGGCATGGTGGTACCTGGTCTCACCTGGGCCACTTGGGAGAACACCTGGGGGACGCCAACGGTTGGCTTCACAAACTGGGTCCCTGGGGCTGCAAAAGAACAAGGTGATCAAATTCCAAGGGGTCAAACTCCATTCCTTGCCCAGCAGCACCCACGTGTGACCCCCTTTCTGACACTGCCGAGCTCCCCGAACTCCTGCTCAGCTCAGTGGAAGTTTTACAAGTTCAGCACCTGATTTTACTCCCCAAGCAGACTAAGACTGAACACAGATGCAGAGCGAGGACTGTGTTTGCAACAATTTTTAGGTGGAATTTTCCAAAAGGCCCAAGAAGCTTATGAGCGTAAATCCCACTGACTTTCATGGAGCTCATGGTCCTGGTGACGAAGCCCAACAGAAGCTCATGGAAGGCTTCTCATGGTAGGACAAGGTTGATCCCACATCTGCAAACTGGTTTGTGACACAAGGTTTGTTGTAGAGAGAGCAAAGGCATCACCAGCACAGCAGCTCTGCTGTGAGGCAGATCCTGGTGACCAGCAGGTCCTCAGTCTCTCTGGGGACTCTCAGTCTCTTGTGGGACAGGACCAGGAAGCAGAAATCATCACAGGGGAGGTTTGGGTTTCCTGGCACAGGGGAACACTAGCATGGCATGGGGAAACTTCAGAAGGAAGGACAAGGAGCAGTGATGGGCTGGGATCTTGGAATGAAATGAGCTGGGGAGGCTTTCTGAAGAGACTAGACAACATGAGCAGACCTCCCCTCTAGCTGAAGTCCCCTACTCTGCAGAGGGGTCTGTGACAGTGACCAAAGGGTCTCCTCTCTGCTGTGAAACAACTGGCAGAACTGGAGCCACAAACAGCAAATCTCACCTGCTCCAAAACCAGAACATCCCCTACCTTAGAGCCACCAGAGAGGCAGCTGAAACACAGACTGCAAATCCACAGGTTTTGTTAACCTTTTGGTACTCCCAACAGGAAGGTGACAGTGGCTGCAGCCTGTTTCAGCCCTTACCTGGGACGAGGGTGATGGGTCTGACTGTCTGACCCTGCTGCACGTTCAGAACAATCCCAACTTGGTTCATCGTGTTCTGCACAGGCCGCACGTTCCTCACGGGAAACCCCTGCAGGCAAACAGCACCATCAACACCCTGAGCAGGCTCCTGGGACAGAAGAAGCTCCAGCATGCAAAGGCAAGTGGGTTTTTTGTTTGTTTTAATTTTTGTTGTGTTTGTTTTGGTTTTTTTTTTGTAAAAGCAGGATCTGGTGAACACAGACACCCACTTTGTAGGACTGACCCACAGGAAATGCCCAAAGAAACTAGTGGGCATCAAAAAAATTACCTGCATATTTCCCAGGAAAATAAACCCAAAGTACCCAGCAAGGCCAAATTCCCACAGAGTGGACAGACCCACAGGCAGCAGGGACTCAGGCCCTACTGGTGGGACTGGAAGCAGAAGTCACCATGAAGCCCCATCAGCCCTGGGCTGGCTCCACAGGACCTGCTGAGGTGTGGAATGTGGCCAATTCCCTCAAGTGAGACTCAACTGCAGAACGCCTGGGAGCACCAGCTGTTTCTGAACAAAGCTACTTCAACATCTACATCCATTGAGAAAAAAAACCCCAACTGATTTCAGCTCAAGCATCACACCCACTAAAGCCCACCAAGAAGTGGAAAAGGCATCTGATTATTTCTTAACAAGAGTCTTCATGGCTGAGAGGATCAGATCTTTTGCCTCAGCCTCCCAGGTGGGCAGGGGGCTCACCTGGGTGGTGATGAAGATGGGCTGGCTGGTCACGGGGGAGCTGGTGACGTGGTTGGCATTCTGCATGATCTGGACAGGTCGTAGCACGGGCTGGGTCACCATGGTGCCCAGCCCTGAGGTTGGGTTCTGGGTGAGGATGAGTGGCTGCCCACTCTGCTGCACCAGGGGGTTGCCAGCTGGAAGGTAAACACAGCAAAGGTCACAACTGCCAGTGAACAGGCTGCTGCTTCTCACACACACTCAGCTGGTAATTCAAGTCTTCAGAACTTGGGACTTTTTTTTTTCAGAGTATGTTTTAAAAGCAAACTTGTGAAACCACTCAGCCCTTCCATGTGTTAACATTCATATTTAGACTATGATTTTCCAAGCTGCCTGGGAACTAGGTGTTCAAATCCCTGAGCAGCCTCAGTGACTGATTCTCCTGGCTCCCTCCTGCCCTTTGAACACAGCCACAGCAGTTAAGAAAACACTTTTCCTAGTCTCATTCACTATTAAGTAAAAATTCACCAGCCTGCCAGGGAGCTCCAACCCTGGGGTCACCAACCATGGCACCTGGAGGGATTTCCCTGGATTTCCTGCTTAGAGACACTGCAGCTACCCCCAGGAAAACCCATCAAGTCAGGTTCTGGTCCTCCCTGTGTGCACCAGCCCAGCAGACACTCACCAGCAGTTGCCTGGATCCTTCACTCAACATCCCATCTACCCCACGTGCTCCCAGCTCCACAAGTTCTCACTTGCCAAGCAGAGCAGACTCCCACTATTTGCACAGAAGGCAGAAATTCAAACCCAGGAACATTGCCCAACTGCTCCTGGCAACTCAGGGCTCACGTCACATAAAAACAAAGCTCAGGAGTCTCCCATTCTACTGCCAACATTTGCTGGCACCCGAGAGACAGGGAAGGAGTTAAAGGGAGGAGAAGAAAGGATGAGGGAGGAGGCTGTGGAGGCACCTTCTAGGGACAGATGGGACGAAATGGTCCATAACCACCAAAGTCCTGGTTGAGAGAACAAACCTTTGCTACCAACACACACTAATGATGCTCAGCAGAACACTTTACAGATATGGTCACTCTTTGGTGGACACCATTCCCTGCTCCCAGACTCACTCACTCCAGCCCAGGCTGTGGATCAAGTCTTGGCCAAGGCTCCTCCAACCATACCAGCTCTGATGCCCCACCTGACGTTGCCTTTCCCACAGAAACCCACCTCACCTTGTGTCCCACATGGATGTTGGCCAGGAAACCAACTAAACCAGGCAGGGAACGCGGAGAAGGAAGAAACCAGCTCCTCAGTTGCACTGCTACTGTGACCCGTGTCCTGAGGGGAAGGGCCTTCCAGAGCAGCAAAGGGAGGTGGGAACCTCCCCAGCAGGGACCTGCAGCTCAGCAGGACATGAGAGTGACACAACATCCAGGATGCTTCAGGGCTGCAGAGTGGTCCAACATTCCTGGCACTGCTAATGGCAGAGGAAAGGGCTGCTGCACCCAAACTGCTAATGTTTCCTCTGGAACTGTGCAAACCCAGGGAAAGACCTGCTGCATGCCAGAACATTCTGACCCACAGCCAGAACAGCTTCTTTTAATGGAAGATGCTTTACACTGACAGTCTGGATGCTGCCTGGCTGGCAATCCTCAGGGAGAAGGATCCAAATGTTTTCATGAAGATTATAAACAGTTGGGTGATGGAAGACTACAGCAGAAGGTTCAGCTCCAAGCCACTCAGCTGCCTGGCCCACTCTGCATCTTGCCTCCCTTTTCCAGGCACCTCCAACAGGCAGGAAACTGCTGGGAAGGAGACACAGGTTCCCATTCCAGAGCTTGGGAAGAAAAAGGTGACAGGGACATCAAGTGGAGTCAGCTCAGCAGCACTCCCTGAGAAACAAGGGATTGCTGAAGCCTGGGACAGACTTGTAGGTATCTGAGGAGCCTTCCATCACTCTTAGGAGAAGCAACTTCAGGTGGCTTCTGTGGTCTCTGAACCCACTTCAGGAAGGATGGAAGGTCGAGCACTGCTGGGACATCCTGGAGACACAGGACATGCAGGGAGAGAAACTCCTGCCACAGCAGCACAGTGAGGACAGGCCAGCTGAGCCCCAGGAACAAACATGGAACTTGTGGCAAATAGTCCAAGAGAGAAAAGTCATCCCAAACGTTCTAAAGAGGGAGAGGAGTCACAGAGGAGTGTGCAGAGCAAGTGAGCACCAGAAGGGTCCTGACACCCTGATTCAGAAATTATTTAAACTGGACTGTTTTCCCACTTCCCATCCTACCCTGACTGAACCATCTACTGCTCCAGTGCAGTATTTTCTTGGATAGTTTCTGCACTTCCAGGACAAGAAGCACTCTGTGACTCTTGGGGTATGCAGGCTGTACTTTGAACTGAGGAGGGAGCTCTCCATCCTGCTGTCCGGCTGTCGGGAGCCTGGCACCCACCTCATCTTCTTGTCAACAACAACAGGGCTTTTTTGGACACTGTGGAGACGGACAGATGTGCATGTTGGACCTCCTAGTTACATGTGATAGAAGAACAAACTGGTCTGAGTGGGATGCAGGTGTAGCCAAAAGCAATCACAGAAAATTAAGGAAAGAAAAACTGCAGCCGAGCACCACGCTCAAGATGTTCAACTTTCCCTCATTTTAACTCTGATGTCCCAGGAAATCTGAGACATTTTAAAACTAATCTGTGGGGGAAAATCTGAATCCAGCAGAAAGATGAAAAAAGATAAGTTAGAAGATGTTTCTAGCTTGAGTTTAGAAATCCTGTTTCTTGATTTTTGGACATGGGCTCATTTCTGTCCTGCCCAGCTCCCACTCCTGCTCCGTTGATCCGAAGCAGAACAAGGACAATTGCCCCCAGGAGGAATCCAAGCACGTTTGTTTTAAGGTTAAGTATTTACCAACATGGATGCTGGTATTTGAGAAAAGGTCTCCAGGCTTTCTCCTAAGGAAATTCTACAGGAAAAATACCACAACAAAACCTGGGAGAATGGATGGATTTAATGGGTCTTTTCTGGCCCCAGCTTGTAATGTAAAACACAAAACAGCCACGAGCACAAGAAACAGATTGCTGAGAACTGGGATGACTCCAGACACAGCTCATTCCATGAGCATTCCACAATCACCACTTAAACTGGGATGTGACCCTCAGTTACTGGGCCAGCAGAGACTACAGGGACCAAAGAGGTGACAGATGTCCCTGTGGCACTTTGCCACGCGAAATCCTCACTGGCATCGTGTCAAGAAGGATTCCCCTGCAAGTCCAAGTCATAAGAGCTGGGAGCAACTCAACGAATACAACACTCAGGAAAGAAAAAGCCATGCTGCAGGCTGGAGAACTTTATTTGCATTGCTCCTGAATCACAGAATTGCATCATTGTATTCAGAACACCCAGCAAGCACAGTCTGTGCAGACCCCACAGCAGGACGCCGAGTGGCTGCACTCAGTAAAGCTTTGTTGTCAGTACAACAGCCCCCAGCCCCATCCAGCTTCCTCAGCCACCAACCAGAGAGAAATCCCGTTTCCTTCAGACCACTGGCAGGTTTGTGTCCATCCCAACCCATTATGGCTGGACCACTTTGTCCCTCCACACACCCTCCTACCTGGACATCTCTAAATAGAACTCTCCAAGGAAGCTCCTCCTCAGTCTTGTGGTGGGCAGGGAGGCCAGGGAAGCAGGAGGGAGCAGCAGCACCACTACACCCTTCCCTGAGCAGAGCCAGCCACCCTGGACTCACCCCCAGCCCCAACCAGGCTCCCAAAGCCCCCAGTGCTGGACACCCCCCCAAACACCCTGCGGGAGCCCTGGGATGTGCAGAGCAGCTGCTGCCAAGGAGCCAAGAGCAGCGGTTGCCCCGAGCAGCTCTGGGACCAGAGCTCAGGAACAGCAGCCAGGGACATGGAGCCCCCTCCTCAGTTATCCCTGGCTATGACAGGGCAGAGACCCTCCCCCATCCCAGACATCAGGCTGGTCCTTTGCTTGATCTTGACCAAGACAAAGTAACTGAAGTGGCTGAGCAGCAGCCTCCCCCACCCACACGCAGAGCTGGGCAAGAATTCTTCTTCCCATGCACCAAAATGTTTGACAAGAACCAAAGGGACAGTTAATAAAGGGCTTTCTTATCATAGTCCTACTTCATTTACTCCCAAATTGTGAAATGGTCCAACACACTGTGTTGGCACCACCAGAAATCAGGGTTCCATTGCAAACTGAATTCATCCCCAGCACCTGAAAAGCAGAAATTCTCCCACCCACCAATTATTGCTGCTTCTGAGTCTAAATTTCTCGTAATTTGAGACAACTAGTGGATAACAACATCCTCTGACCTGCACATTAGATGGAAACTATGAACACTCAAGTCATGGATCTTTCCATTTACAGAAAACAGACAAACCAAACTGAAACAGATTGCATCAAATCACTGGTTAAAGGAGTCATAATAAACTAGTTTTAATCTCACTAGTTTGACTACTTCAGTCACAAGAAATACCATTCAGCAGTCAAGTACTTGACTTCCTCACTCATTTCAAACCTGTAAGAGCCAGACACTCACCACTGAGTTGCTGATACACAAAAGCATCACCTTCTATGTAAATGATCAACTCCCTACTTTTAGGAAATGACAACTCTGGCTGTAGGACACACCAACTCAGCCCAAGTTTCCTTCTCGCCCTTTCCAACATGTGCAAAAAAATCTCTCTTCTCCTGCACAGAGAAAAAAAGCTGTTTTCTACCTCAAACTACTTATCCACAGGCCTGTGCAGAAGCACCACTGTGTCAGCTCTGCTCAGCACTCAAAAGCTCTGTCCACAACTAGAAGAACCAAAATCTGTTGTATTCCTCACCAACAGGTTTTTCAGCTACCAAATAAGATCCTGGCTGGGCAGGATATCACCAGTCCCTGCTGCTTCCCTCTGAACCTCATCATCAACAACAGGAACAGTTCTGGACTAAAGCAGTCAATTACCAGTGGCAGTCTTATCAACCGAATTATAATCCTCAACAACAGAATCTTCAATCACATCACTGATCTTCTGCCATGGCTCCAGCTCCTCCTCCTCACATTCCATGAACAGGTCTGTGTCCGCCATCCTGCAAAGCAAAAAGAGGAGAAACCTTCATTGGGAAACTGGAGGCAGGGAAAGTCAATCACTGTCATAAAAATTCTAATTAATTAGGAAATAGGAACATCACTTATTTCCCAGTATTCCAAAGCAAAACAGTGCTTATGCAGAATTCTCCTTCATCACACTTTTAGGAGTCTTTACCCAATAAAACTCACCCTAGAAGATTAATTGCATTTGTAAAGGAAATCAGTATTATTGTAGGAAATAAGACACCACAAAAACTGCATTTCCTGATTTCCCACCTGGGTTATAATAAAAAAAGAAGCAACTTTTTCCCCTCTCCCCCCAGCCAGGCTGGCAGAGCAGGCAGTTCTGTGCTGTAAGTGAACAGGAACCCAGACCCCTAGGAGGGATTTTTCTCCTCTTGATCACATTGTGGTGGCAAGAGAGGCTGCTATGATTGCATTTTGTCATCTCCACTACCATTTGACAGCCATAAAAATCTGATGAGAAATGTTCTGAGACAAACTGGCCAACACAAACAGTTTATAATAGGGGACAGGCAAGAAACTAATCCAACTTGCGCAGACAATCTGTGTTTTCAATAGCCACAGAAAACAGTGCTGACCAGAAGGCTTAAACAGAGTGCAACATGTATTAGCTCACTGCTGAGAAGCTGGGAGAGACACAGCTTTAAAATATAAGCTGGATTAAGTAACCACAGAGCAATTAGATCATAAATCTTGTATCATGACACCACATCTACCTTCTCATCCCAACGCAGCCACAATTCTGGCCAAACAAACACGGAACCTGCGATAAACCCCAGCTGGTAACTCAACTGAAGGCTGGGATTTCCCAGAGAGGCTGCTCAGACTGGGGCTGCCCTCAGACTCTGCCTCTTCTGTGTTGTTTTGTCTCAAAAGGACTCACAGCCTTGCACTGTGATGCTGTCAGCACGTGTTGGTGTTTTCCCAGTACTCAGCTTGATGCTCAGTTATACTAAGACATGTAATTCTCACTTCCCAGTTATGCTTTTGAAGCACAGGAAAAGTGCTTTTAAGAACATGAAGGATGCCCGTAGCACCGCTCATGTTGGGCAGCAGATCTTTTGTTCCCCACCTCCTCAACATCCACCTTGGTAACAGATTGAAGTCACTGGTGTCACCCTGCAGAGCACCCCCAGCAACTCCTCCTGCACACCTGGGGACACTGGGCAGTGGCACTTGTCCCTAAACTGCTTTACACCTATTCACACCCACTGCCAGCTGGAAACAGGCTGCCCAGGGAACTCCTGGAATCTCCAGTTCTGGATGACCCTGAAACGGACAGGCCTGTGAAAGGAGGTGTGTGTGTATAATTACCATATTTTTTTACATCTATACCTACAGGAAGGGAGGCAAAGGGGATTAAGTGCCTTGCAGGGGACATCTGAAGCCCCATTTTTCTCCAGCAAGATGTAATTTATTAACAAACACGTACTACCAGGTATTTTTGCACTACTCCACACCAAGTGTACTTCAGCCTTGACACTGAGGCCTTTGCTAAAGGAAGCAGTTAAATGCTCCTGTTACAGGTACCTCTTCATCCTGCTGCACAAAACACTCCCAATAAAGCGAGGACACAAACCTCACTGCCCCAGCTTAGCACATCCACATTCCTGCCCATAAACACTGCACAAAGCAGCAGTGGTTTGATGTGTCCATTGAACTTTTCACAAAAACATATGCCTAAACCTAGTCTGATTAGGAAAATATTTTGCAACCCATGAGAAAAAAAATAGCCAGCTGATAAAAAACCCATCAAGTCTCTTGGCAAAATTACATTAGTATATCTATTAAAAAAAAAACCCAGAGTATTGTAATAATCCTAAGATACAATTAACCAAGTGTATCACATCAAGCATGACAAAGCTCCCCCTCCCCACAGCACCCACTACCTGCACACTTCAGAGGTGTCACCACCTTCCTCATTTACACAAACCCTGCAGTGTGTAAAAAATGTTATTAACCTTATCTCAAAGGTGGGAAACTGTGCTCAGTGAAAGTGACTTGCCAAAGATGCTCCTGGCAGCCAGTGGCTTCGTCAGAAACACAGCTGGAGATGCCCAGCCCTTGCTCACATCACTCAGCACAAACTCAAACTTCCTTCTGGTTAAAACAACCAAGAGAAAGAAAAACAAACAAACAAACAAAAAAGCCAACAAAAATAACTCCTGAATGACAAATGGTAAGACGACAGACTGCAGTAAATGAAGCCCTGAAGTACATGTTTATGCAGGGGATCTGCTCAGCAGGGGAAAGCAAGAATCAAAGAGCCCTCAATATTATTTTCTCTGCCTGTTAACATGAACTTTTCTTTAATTACAAGGTCTTGGCAAACCCAAGCAAAATTTCTTGGGGGATGTACAGCAGATCTGGAGCAGATAAGCACTGAAACAGATCAATAACTACATCTGTCTAGTTTTCAATATTCATCCTTCACAGAAACATCTAGAAAATAAACCCCTCTGTGGATCTGCCAGGACAAAGCTGCTCCTGGTGATGCCAGGATGGGAATCGTGGAGGATTCGTGTCCTGCCCAGGGGCCGGGGCTGAGCCCGGACACCACAGCGATGGGCAGGCTGCTGAGGCAGGACAAATAACCTGCTCTCCTCATTAAAGCACATAAACACCTGCCCAGGAGGGCTGGGACCACAGGGGGAGGCTCTGCACATGTTGTAAAAAATATATTATTCAACAGCTCACAATTACTCGGAAGATGCGAAGACAAAATGCTGAAGAGACGGCAGCTACAAGCTTCTATGACACCACCTCACGTTATGCAGAGCATTTCATCTCTCCATCTCAACTGAACTAAGAAAATGTCTCCTTTCTTCTATAATGTAACAGCTTTGTTTTTCAAAGCTTTGATCTTGAATATTTCTGTATGTAAGAAGCCTTTGCTCAATCAAATGATTAATCCCAATGATAAATACTCTACGTTTCGCTTTTCAGCACGGAGATGGCAGATGCTTGCATGAAAATCTGGATGCCAAAAAAAAAATAGACAAAAAAAAATAATTACAAAGTGTTCTAGACACAGTGAAGAAATAAAGCCTTTCAGACTGAAAGGTATTTTCTCTCCCCTTAGTTGGAAAATGGGAGAAAACCTTCAGGGGAAGAGCCAGTAGGGATCAGCCTCGCACAGATAACCGGGCACAGACACAGACCCTTCAGCTGAGGTGGTTCTACTCCTTGTGCCACACGGGGGGAAAAACCAAGAGCTCTTCCCCTCTGCCACCCAAGTGCACCCTCTGATCACCATCATCACTCCCACCAGGGGAAATCCAGCACTGAAGATGTTTTATTTGCACACAAGCAAGCAGATCACCCTGCCAGCAGACAAGGAGAAACCCTTGTCTCCTACACCCTGCTGCAAAAAAACCCTAAAAACCTCCCTTGAAATTTGCAATTCAAGATGCAATTGTGATTATTTACCCAGGAATCACTTCCCCAGAGTCAGGAAGATACAGGACCCAGCTCCTATTACCTTGGGAGAAATGACTGAGCAGAGGGGAAGCACAAACCATCGTGCTCTGGTTTACATGGTCACTGGCACCTTCCACCTTCTAAACCATCTCGATCCACAAGCACTTTTGCCAGTTCCCCACCCAAGTGAGGTGGCAAACAAAGGGCTGGTCACCTCAGTGTGAGCTTGAACTCTGTGCTTTCCCCCACTGAGTGAAGCAGGAGGAGAGGCTGTGGTCCCCAGTGCTACCTGGAGCACCAGGCTCTGTCCCCCTGAAGGCACCTCCAGAGGGGTGGTGATGGATTTCCAGCTCCATCTCACTGGACACAAAGCAACATCCATAGGCCATATATGCACAGGCTTCTGGATAAGGGCTTCAAATTAATTACTTGTTCAACGTTCTTCAAAACCCACATGATGGGATACATCACTCTTGCTATATAAGCTTCACTCTAAGGCTTTTAATTTAAAAAAAAGTATAAATAAATCAGTACTTGCCAGGGCACTGCTGGTGGCCCAATTTCTGCCTACTGGGTGAAATCATCTGCAACATAATCAGTCTTGAGGGCACACTGGCAGGTCAGAAATAAAGATGTATTCCATGACACAGGTGACTTGGTAAAGCAAAAAGGTGAATTTTGTTTAAAGAACAAAGAGGAGGGGTAGGAATAACCATCCCAGAGGGACAGTTACCTGGGATTTCACTGTGTCCTCCCTCCAACAGCGTCACCCACAGAGGTACAATTACAGCCACAAACTTGACTGATGGAAAAACATGGAAGAATTCATCACCCTCATGCAGACCAAAGGCAGGAAGCTTTGAGAGAGCAGAGAAAGACCCAGGAACCCCCACTCCTCCTTGAACTGCCATTCCCTGGGTAGAAGTGAACTCCAGGCACAAACATTTTTACACTCTGACCATCATAAAACGTGCAGCATGTTCAGTCTTCTTAAATAACTGACCCCATCATCTTGAGGGATATCACCAGACCTTCATGAACCCTCATGGAAAGCTCAATTCCCGTTTCCAGAAGAGAACACACATCCCCATGTGAATGTGCCATATAAAAAGCCAAGTGAATATGCAGGGAGAACCAACCCAAGGGTGAGCACACAAAATTCACATGATCATCTGTCCCAGCAGCAGCCTGGGACAGGGCACCACAGCCCCAGAGCAGAGTCAGTCCCTGCAGCACATCCACAGGGAATGTCTGCACCAGCTCCTGGAGAGAAGACACTGTGGGATGGTGACCAGGCTTGTGGGGAATGAGGGAACACCCCCTGGGCAACCTGCATCCCTCCAGCTCCCTGGAACCAGGGACCTGGGCTGCTCCAGCCCCTGAGGGGAGGCAGAGGTCAGTCCTGCCCAGTACAGCCCAACTCATCTCTAGCACCATGTGTATCATCCCTCTTCCCTGCTCTTGCCCAAGGTCTGTCAGTTTTTTGCCAGCCTGGACTGGCCTCTGTCGATGTAACTGTGAGTGCTGCCAACTATGTCAGCCCAGGAAAGAAAG